TGTTAAAAGGTATGTGTCCAAAGATGTCACATTCTTTGAGTCTACTCCCTTCTTCTCTATCTTTCGTCCTTTTCTTCAGGGGAGGATGTTAGTAAAGATCAGACTCCCTTTTGTATGCCAATTCCTACAAGTTATGTTGTCAATCCTTCTTCTCCTCCTCCCTGTGGTCGTAGTAGTCCTCCCCCCATGCCTCCTCCTTTGCCTCCTCCTATTCCTTGGTCTTGACATCAGTGGTTCGTCAGACGAAGAAAGAGGATGACTCCAGAAATTGAATGCCCATTACAATTTGACCTCCTGAACTCAGGTAATTTGGATTCTGAACCACTTCCTATCTCCGATGCCTATGTTGAATCTATTGTTGAACCCCCTCTTGTAGATTCTGACCTCAACCTTCCTATTGCAATTCGTAAAGCAAGACAGACATGTACTAAGTATCCTATCTCAAACTATGTCTCTTATGATACTTTGTCACTCCCTTATTGTGCCTATATCTCTTCTATTACTTTTGTTTTTATCCCTCACAATGTTATTGAAGCAGTGCAGTTCCCTCATTGGAAGGATGCTATGAACTAGGAAACAGAGGCACTCAAAAGAACCTAGACATGGGAAATCGTTTCTCTTCTAAAAGGCAAAATTCTTGTTGGATGCTAGTGGGTTTACACAGTAAAGCATAAAGATGATGGCTCAATTGAAAGGCACAAAGCTCGATTTGTGGCAAAAGGGTAGGGGTGGCGACGAGCCGAGCTTTTCTCGAGTTGCTCGAGCTTGGCTTGTGAAAAGCTCGGTTCGGCTCGGTTTCAATCGAGCTCGAGCTCAAGCTCGAGCCCAATTCAGTGGCTCGATTATTAAATGAGCTGAGCTCGAGCCTACTAGAGCTCGGCTCGTGAGGCTGGCGAGCCGACTTACCACCCAAAGAAGGGAAGGTGGGTTTCTCATGACTAAAGGGTTAGAAGAAGTCCCTAATATGGGTATAGGGGCTTCTAATTATGGAATTTGGGTAAGCTATATTCCAAAAGCTTCTTGAGCTAGAATTTTCTTTTTCTCTTTCCAATTTTACCCCTTATTCTAGAGTGCTCATTTATCTAAGTATTGAACATATCAATATGTTTCCAAAATTTTCTACAATTTTTTTATATTTTTGTGTCTATACAAATTTTTCTTATTTATCACACTTATTTTTGTTTTATATTAGAATATATGATATTAGAGATATGCCCAAATGTTTTATACAAAATTTTTTGTATTTTTATACTTATGTAATTTCATCTTTTTTAATTTTAATTTTATTTAATTATGACATCAAGGGTTGATAGATTTTGACCCAAAGAGGATGAATTATTGACTCGCTACCAAACAGGAAAGCAACTCCATTTTTGTGTTGGTTTCAAATTTGTAATTTATTTCCATCATCAATAAACACAATGACAAGAATTAAGCATACCTTGACTTTTCATAAATTGACTTAAACATACCTTGAGTTTTTCAAATAGACTTAAATATACCTTATGGGCTGATCCCGATGGACTTAAACATACCCTCCATAAGTGAAACATCACATGTGAACTCATTTAAAATTTTTCAAATCCTATTTTTCCGTTCTTTGCACATATGAGACCTAACTTCACATTCACATTTTTTCTTTGATGGCTAGAGTGACGTGGGGTTCCTTTATATTGATCCTTCTGCATCCATCCCACATTTAAGTTAAGACCCTTCTTGTAGCTATCGGGCCTACCAATGGTGAAGTATGGGTTCCTTCCATGTTAGATCCTTTCTCTGCAATCACTCATAATTGGCTTGAATCTTGTATTGCCACTTCCGTGGCGGTTGCTCTATAAGCCCAATAGATTCTTGGATTTCGATCAAGCCAACTTAAAAACTTAAGCAAGTGGTAATAGGAAGGGCGAGAGAGAGAGAGAGAGAGAGTAGGCTTTAGAGTTTAGAGAGTTAAGATTAATAAGAGAACTGAACCCTCAATAACCTTTCTTTGTTCCAAGCCTTAGAATTTCCATTTTGGGGCTTTATCTATATTTTCTTATGTTTCTCTTTGTATACAGTGAGCAACGTTGTAAACTCGAATGACTAGAGTGATGTGGGCTCCTTAACATGCAATTGCCATCTCCATAGTTGTGGAAGCCATTGGACCCACCCCAACTATAAATGCCTTGTTAATGTTCTAGATATCGGTTGTATTTGATTTCATAATAGTTTGGAAAACTCAAGCTATATTTTTGAAATTTTGAAGAAAAATAAAGGGTAAAAATGTTATAAGGTACATTTAAGTCTATTTGAAAAACTCAAGGTACTTTTAAGTCAATTTATGAAAACTCAAGATAAGTTTAAGTCTTTACCCTAAAAGCAATTATTCTTTGTCACACTTTTTTTTTGTTTAATATGATTAATTAATATAGGATTCATTGAAAAATGGGAATTAATACTCTAAATATAATACTTAATGAGGGAGTTAAATAGGAGAAATATAGTAGTACAAATTACATCTTGTGCCCTCACAATTAAAGAGAAGCCAAATTCAAGAATAAGGGTATCTTAGTCAAGAACAGGATTCAATGAACGCTAATGGGAGTTAATACCTTTAATATTACATTTTTATTCTTACAATTAGAAAGTTTGAACAGGGGATTCGTGGTTGTCGATCTAGGTGAACGTGGACAAGAACCCTTCTTGGGTCATGAGGTTTGACATTTTCAAAACTAACTGATGGATTGTTAGCGATAAGGACCTATTAGACAGTTTTTGGAAGTTCAAGTACTACAAATACACATTTTGAAGTTCGGGGACTAACTTAAGACAACCCTAAAGTGCAGGGTATTGATCAGAAAATTTCCCTTATTGTTATTATTATTATTATTATAAAATTAATTATATATTATTATTCAAAACTGATAATTAATACTTGAAAAGTTTAGTAATTTTCTAAAAAGTATTGATTTTAAAAATTAACTTTCTTAATGAAAAATTATTTATGGATAATTTCATTTACATTGGTTTTCTAATTATTAAATTTTAAATTGGAAAATTATTGAGGAATTTTAATTATACTTAATTTCCATAAATATTTGGAAAATTTAATATTTTTTAATTTATTAAATTGGAAAGTTTTAATAAATTCCATAATTAATTATTGGTAATTTACATTGGTTTTGGTATTTATTAAATTGGAAAATTATTGGGGAAACTTAACGTTGATAATTTACATTTGGTAATTATTAATAATTTACATAGTTTTTGGTAACTTACTTTGTATTTATTGAGAAATTTTAATTTAGTGATTTCCATAAACTAATTTTCATATTTTTTATGGGTTTTGGGGATGATTCCCCTCCCCCCCTGAATGCTTCATGGAATAACAATATTTAAGCTTTTCTTTTACGTTAACCCTTGTAAAAAAAACTCTCCTTTCAAATTTTCTGATATTCCCTCTAGTTTCAAATAAAAAGAAGGATCATGCACACCACTATAGTTTCACGTGTTTTTTAAAACTTACTCTATTTTGCATATTATTAAAACACCTCTCTAGTTAGCATATGTTTCCTAAAACCTACCCTTTTAGGGGTATTTTTGAAATGAAAAACCTTAGGTCCATATCTTTCACTTGCTTTAACCTTCAGGAGGTCAAGTGGCTATTCTCAAATCAAACGGAGATACAAAAGGTTCCTTCAGGGTTAAATAGTACAGCAATTGCAAACTATAGGGGTGTTTTAATATGCAAATTATAGGGTAATTTTTATAAATATATGAAAGTATAGGGGTGTCTAACTGTCGAAGTAAATGACCTTAAAAAGAAAAAAAGAAAAAGTTACAGCCAATTGGGTTTTATCGGGTCTGACCTGATTAATATAATCGATCCAGTACCAGTTAAAGTAGACCCAATAGGATCTGGTTCGGTTCTGGGTATATGCATTTTTGTAGTTCGTCCCAAACCAGACCCGATTTATTGACAACATTAATTAGTAATAATTCCCTCAACAGTTTTGAGTACTGTTCAGAAAATCAGACCAGACCGGCCAATCGGACCAGTTGAACTGTGATCTGTCTGATCTGGATATACCCTAAAACTGTTTTGGTAAAAAATCGTAATGGACCGTCCACTTGGCTGGTCCGACCTAGAAACTATCGAATCAGTCCTGCTTTTGTAGAACTGGCCAGGTTTTATAGGCATCATAATGTCCTTAGGCTGTATTTGGAATTGGTGTAAAAAGCCATTGGTGTAAAAGTACATCAATAACGTTTTACACCAAATTGTGAGGAAGTGATTGTTACACTTTGAAAAGCGTGATGAGAAAATGTAAAATTTTACATCGATTTTATCGATGAGGTTTTACATTGATTCACGACATAAAATTCTACTCCATCCAAATGCTAATAAATCTAAACCGGAGTAAAGTTTTACAATAATTTTCATTTACACTCCATCTAAACATTGACAAAATAGAATCGACATAAACTTTTTTATCATTCTTGATTTACATCGCTTCCAAACGTAACCTTAGGCTCAATTTGAAAGGAGTACAAATATAAATATGTAGAGTTCAAAACTGTATATTTTATATTATTATGTAGGTATTTGCACTATACATAGGCTTTGCACTCTTGTATAAATACAAATACATAGGCCTTGCACTCTTGTAATGTACTCCTTCCAAATTGAGCCTAGGCTGTGTTTGGTTGCAATGTAAATAAATTTATACTGATGCAGAACTATGGTAGTGCAAATGATTTGAGTGTAAATTCGGACTTATTTTTATTTTAAATTTTAGCTTATTTTGTTTGATTGTGGCACAAATGAAGTAAAATCTAAAACAAAATTAAACAAGAATTTGCATTTTTTACATTTGCACTCTCATGCATTTGTACTAATACAAATAAATTTGCACCGCAACCAATGACAGCATTAAATGCGAAAGGACAAAAAATATTGTGAAATATTACGAAACTGCCACCAAAAACCTTTTCAATCTCTGCTACTCCGTTTACGGTTTACCTATCCCACTTTAGGTTTTCTTCTACTAACCTCTCCTCTTTCGCTTCAACCTTCCCATCTCCCGCAGCCACCGCCCGCCGCAGCCACCGCCCGCCGCAGCCACAGGCACTGGTGCACCGCCACGAGGACACCAACCTCAGGGCGCCGCTCATTTACTACCAGGTACGTCCCTTCTTAACCACTCAGTGTCTCTTTTCTCTTGTAAATGCAGGATTGGAAATTTTTGAATCAAACATCTGAAACATTTGACGCTCGGTATCTCACAGCTGTTCTAGGTTACTTCTTGTATCAGCTTCGACATCTCATTCAAGGTTAGCCACTTAGTTGCGACCTCAGATTTCCTGTTTAGTTTTTCGAATCCAAAATTCCAAATAATTTAAATTGAACATTTTATATGGTTTGGTTCTGAATTTCTGATGTAATTTGAATCAATTCTTCCTTGTATTACATGAATTATCAATCAATTGTTCTTTGATTCTGTCATTCTGAATTGCCAATCAAATCCGATTGCATAGTACTTGATTTTAATGTGGGACATATAGTCAATGGGCTAGTGGAAATAGCTAATAACACCCTAAATCCACTAATACATAATATTGCCACTAACCACTGACTCTAAATCCACTTATGCATCACTATATGGTAGTACCGTTACTAAGCTTTTTCTTTTTCTTTTTCTTTTTTTTTTTAAATTTGTATTCAGTTTTGTTATATTATGTTTCTTCATCCATCAAAATTATTTTATTCTTTAATGGGACATTGATATGGACAAAGTTTTAGGGATGTTCTCTATTGCTAAGCTCTAATTATGACCAATACCATTGCCAGATTATAAATGGGAAAGAAGAAGTTCATTGACAAGAAGAAGTCTGCAACATTTCAGTTACTTGCGAGGGACACATCAGACCCCAATTATCATGGGGGTCTGGCTAGTGATCGAGTCTTTGTTAGGGTTGACAACAATCCATACTCTGTTCATGGGTTCTTGGATGAAGACACTGATTATGTGGCTGGTGATGTTTCTCCTGGTTATCCTGATGAAACAAATTTTCTTGATGATCCCAACTCAATTTTTGCTGATGCACCTGGAGATGACGAAGATGATGAAGTTGAGAATCCTAGAAACCAAACTCGAATGCGAGGCAGAGGTGTGGCCCCTCTACCAGATCATGCTAGAAGGGAAATTTTGGAGTTAGGGCTTCCTGATGATGGTTATAATTATCTTATTCATTTGCGGGAGATTAGAAACACTGGTGGTGGTTCCTCTTATTACCACAACAGCAAGGCAAAGCTTGATCAGCTCCCACTGGATGTAAAGGTTTGTGATGTTGGATTACTGCAATCAATCCTGTTCTTATCTAAGTTTAAATATCAGGCTGATTGGGAGGGGGTTGAGCTATTTGTAAATTCTTTTATTTTTATTTTTTATTTCAGGCCTATGATGCTTCAAGAGTACATATTCCAAAAGTTGATGAAGACTCAAATGAGAATTCAATCTATCAAGTTGCATCAAGGACTGTTGGTGTGAGGATCCAGAAGGCTGTTGATCATGAAGTAGCTGCTTTGCTTGATGATGATTTATCTCGATTTGGCTCAGACATGGAGGACTTGGAAGAGGATTTTGTAGTTCAAGCAAACCTACCTGAGGAAGGGGAAAATGTACTTGTAGATAAAAATGTAAACTTTACTGAGCAACCTGAAGTAATCAAAAGAGAGCTTAACAGATCTGCAAATTATGCTTCTAAAGAACAGGGACTTGACTCTGTCAGTTGGGATGAACCAAAGAGTCACAATCAGGAAGCAAGCAAGGAGTGTGGCAGTGAGAAACCTAGAATTCGACGCCTTTTGGATGAGCAATTTGATGTGGTGAGAACCTCCTCCAGTCCTCCACAATAGAGAACTTGTTAATACATGTTTATCAGAATGAGGTGTTTGATTTTCTGAAGTGTCAATTTTGTTCTCTGTCTCAATATTTGTTTTTTATCCAGTTAGAGCAAGAAATTCTCATAATACCTTCTTCTTGGTTGCTATGTTGAGCTCTAAATTTAATGTGTTTGTTTCATTATTTTTTGTGCTGTTTTAGAGTTATAAGTGAGCCAAGTGAAATTTACTCCACTTGTTTTCTTGGCACTAAATGTTGCATAAATATAAGATTAGATTGCATATTATGCTCTTACAGATTTTTTAAGCCACTATGGACTTTTTAAGATCAGATTTTACAAGGCAGAGGTGACTCATGAGGTTAGGTGCTGGAATATTTCAATGTGTGACATGGAAGCCTTAATGCTTAGATCTTATTTTTGCGAGGAAAAAACAAGAACTAAAATCAGAAATAAATGATTTATTCTTCATGGAAATACTGATAAGAAAATTATTCATCATAGGAACAAGGGATATAAATTTCAGAGTTACTGGCGTTCTGGCCGATCTTTCAAGCTGTTAGAAAAATGTCAACATAAAACAGAACTAAGTTGGTATTGAACTATTAAAAGCCTTAAACATTTAAAAAACCACAAAGACAAGTTATAAAAATAGAATAAGACCCATGAAGAAAATCACAAGCACATAGTTGGAAAGCTTAAAATTAGTCTTTAACTCAGTCTTGTAATGTGAATCCTACTTAAATTATTTTATGGAACATGTGTTCTGGACACAAGGCATCTCCATGTGCAAAGCTTGTCCCATCTACTTTCAGGCATTCCAATTTGGTATTCTTAGAAAGTTTATTGGACCTCCCAATAGCTTATTAAGGGGATGACAGACAGTTGTAGTCTTGTAGAATTCTCGGTCAAAAGATGGCAAGAAGATGCTGATTGGGTGGAGAATAGCTTTCATTGGCAGGTTGGGGGTTGACTTGGGTTGTAGTAGTGAAGCTCAAGGGGCTACTTTGAAGTATAAAGATGCAAAGACACTGGGCATTAATTCTGTTGTAACATCTGAAAAAGAAAAGGAGAACAGTACTAGAAGTAGATGACTTATCAAGTGGATGGCAGACAGATATGGGATTAAAGACAGAAAACTGTGCTGATTGAGTGGAGCATAGCTTTTGTAGGCAGATTGGGGGTTGATTTGAGGCATAGAAATGAAGCTCAAGGAGCGATTTTGAAGCATAATGATGCAGAGACACTGGACACTATTTATTATATAGAAACATATAAAAAGAAAAACGAGAACAATAGTGGAAGAAGAATTGGAAATTCAAAGAGTCAGTTTAATTTACATCACTAAGGTGTTTTCCTTTTTAAAAGGTAGCTTATATGGAGCTAGACCATGTGATAAGTTTAAGAGTGTTTACAAGAGAAAGACATCAAAGAATGGCAGTTGAATTGTGAAAGTAGTAGCATACATGAACAAAGATGAGAAGAAGCTTGTTGATCGAAAAAAATGATGAGAAGGAAGCTAAGCCATGCATTGTGTGTCCTCAAGAATACGGGGGAAAGATCCTTCTTTAATAGAGAGAAAGATGATGAGGAGTCAGGGACACAAATAGAGGTCAGTGATGATTCTTCACTTAGAAAGGAAAAGGGAATCAGTGTTAGATGTCAGGCTGGAGGGGAGGAGGATATGGAAGTAACTAAGGATAAATCTGAGGCAAGTGAAGAACAGGTGTGTAAATATGAGGTTAGGAAAGTGAATAAAAAAGGTAGAGTTGAGTGAGGTGGTTGATAGAGAGTTGGAGATGGGAGAAGTATTGGGCATGTTGTATATAGGGGGAATGGAAGCAACCAGAAGAGTATTTGACAAGCTGGAGAAAAAGTGAAGGGAAGACATTATAGGAGGAGCAACAGAACAGTAGAGGAATTTTTGAGCTTGGATGGGCTGGTTATTGTAGATTTAGAAGGGGCCAACATATAGAATGAAAATGTGAGGTGAGTTCGGATAAGGCTTGAGGACTTTGGGGTTTGGAAGGGGCAGATTGAATGTGTAATGGTAATTTGGAGTAGTAATTGGTTGGTAAGATTGGCCAGATAGGATCACTTTGTATTGATAATGGGTCATGGGTGTGCAAGGTTTTTGTCTTGGGTTGAGTTGTGCGGGGGGCTTCTTAATGATATTTGTGACTTCTGGAGGGGAAAGAGGGCATGGGGGCATTTTCTTATTTCTTTATTTTGTTGGTTTTTTTTGTGGGTTACCAGGGTTGTTTGTAGTGGAGTGGGGTATTTCTTTGCTTGAGTGATGTTGGCAAGGATTAAAGTATCAGTATCGGGTATCGTACTAGACAACTTAGATACGGATATAGATACGAATATGGATACGAATACGCTTTGGAAACGCATGGATACAGACGAAAAATATGGAAACACTTGGATACGATAGGAAAGCATATAAAAATTGCATAAATATATTAATAATATTAAATTTAAGGTGAAATAAGAACAAAGAATGTATAAATACATATAAAATGTATATTTTAATGATGTACATGAAAGAATATATTACAATTAATATAATAGGATGCATAGATACCAAACAATTTTATTGATGATGTTTCAATCAAGAATCCAAAATGCAAAACATATGCTCCTATTATATTTTAATTATTATATCAGCTATTTTCTGTTTTACTATTTTTACATTTTTACATTAACAAAGAAGTCAACTAAATATTAAATTATCAAATGTAAATTAAAATATCAATTAATAATTTATGAAATATATAATCTCAACCTAAATTATATCAAATATATTAAAATTTCTAGGATACATATCATATGCAAATTCACAATTTTTAACTACTAAAATCATTATTTCATTATTAACATTTTTATTTCTATAAATTTATAAAATTAGAAATCTTATTTTATATAAATGTAGATTAGTAGATTTGATAGATTCAATTTAATATTATATTCTTGAATAATTTGTAAACAATTTTTATTTTTGTAAATAATAAAATATGTTGTAATTTAATGTAAATTAAAATATTAATTAAAAATTTTAAAATGCATATTCTGTGCAAATTTATAAATTTTAAGTACTAAAATAATTATTCTATTACTCATATTTTTATTTTTATAATTTTTCTAAATTTAAAAATCTTTTTTTGATACTGATGTATATTAGTAGACTAAGTCGTGTAAATTTATAAATTTTAAGTACTAAAATATTTATTCTATTATTAATATTATATTTATATAAATTTCTTGAAATTTAAATAATCTTTTGAAACAAATGTGGATTTGATATATTATTTATTCAATCATTTTATAAAATGCTAATTTTGAATATTATTTTTTTAATTCTTAGTTGGAGTTGTTAAACATAAATATTTAATATTTATTTGGATTGCGTTTTGACAATAACAATAAAACTTATTTTATTTTACATATTAATACAAGTGGTGGGATAGCTTTGTGGCTTAAGAGTGAGTGCGTTAGGCGTGTGATTGTTATCGACCCAGGTTCAAATCACCTCAGCGTTGTTTTTAGTAAAAACTAAAAAGCATGAGCACAAACATTCGTGTCTTGCGTGTGGCGACGTGGAGTATCTATATCGGTCCGATACGCATGACTGGTAGGATATACCTCCAGTTGTAGCGTATCCCATGCCGGATGCTACCGATACTAATACAATACGCCCCGTATCGGACGTATCGTATTGATATTTCAATCCTTGGATCTTGGTGATGCCTCATCACCTCAGATCGTAGCAATCTGCTTTTCTCCTTTTTAATAAGATTTTTATTTCTTATAAAATGGAGTTAGGAAAACGAAAATTAAACTTTGATGGCTGCGGCTTAGGTAATCTAGGCAATTTAGGTATTGAAATTATAAAGAATGATGGAGGAAATATCTTATCAAGCTTTTCAGAATTATTGGTGTGGGTAGTTCAATTTGAGCAGAGCTGTTTGCCCTATTTCAAGGCTTAAAATTTTCTTTATCAGAAGGCTGGACAGAATTGTGGGTTGAAGGAGACTGCCAAGTGGGTTATAAATTGGCTGATCTTATGGGAAGAAGCATCTAGGACTATTAGAAAATTGGGACTGGTTTGATGAAATGCTTTTGAAACAGCAGGATAGCTTCCTTTTGTTAATAAAACATCAATTCGTTGTTGCTTATCAAAAAAATCTTGCACTTGCTCAATTATTTGTCTCGTGGTAACAATGATGCGATTTTTTTATTTTATTGCCCTGAATTATGTTTGCAATGCGTATTATGTATTTATGCTTACAATATTTTAAGAGCACCAAATCACTGTCATTCTTTGGATTCTGAGTGTTGGGAGTAATTTTTTGCTTCATCAATTTGATTAGACAGCTGTTTATTTTCTGGACAATGTTCTCTTGTAATAATCTCATAAAATAATGTTTTTCTTAATAGGTCCCACCGCTTTCCTTTGAGTGTAAACATAAGACATACCACTAATATCCATGGTTTAAAAATCCAAATATTTCTTGATATTTTCATGATTTTTTTTTCCATTTCCATACGTATTGACATGAATTATTTGCTGGATTATATTTTGATATATTCCCAAGTGCTTTAATATCTTTTACATCATTTACAATAAGTTTTACTTTTAATTATAGCAATTTAAAGTTTTCATTTTACATATACATGGATATGATTCAAATAATTTGTTTTAATCTGACTTTTTCTCTTAAAATTATTATTTCTTTTCTGAGTTTAGCATTATAGATAATTCTTTTCTTCTTGGTTTCCTTTGTAAAATATTTTGATTATCCACAGTTTAACTAAATATAACCAATGTTTTAAATTCTTGTAATAGGATAAACAATATAATAGGATAAGTATATGTAAATCATTACTTTCTATTAATTAAGAAATAATAAAATTGTTTTAAACTAAAATATTATCAGAAGGCAGTCAGGCACTTTTGTATCCACGATACTTTTTTAAGCCCTTAAATTTCTAAGTGGAGGAAGAGTCCATGAAATGAGCTAATCATTTCAAAAGCATCCTTTTTATCACTTTATAATGTTATAATTATATAAAAGAGTGTGTTTTTATAGCTTCAAAAAATATCATTAGATATTTCTATAGATTAATATTTGTAATATTTTTACAATAAATCTTCTTGTAATTTTTTGATATATTTCTTATTGTTTAGTGGTCTACTTTTTCACCAAAACCAACATTTTGAACTCATACTACTAGTTAAAAGGACAAGATATTTAAAGAGTTCATATCAGAAAATACATTTCACTTGCACTCTCTTGTATGTAATGTGTCAGAATCTCTACTTAGGAGTTAAAAGGTTGGTTACCTGAAATGTGCCTGCCTTTCTATCTATCATTTTTCCTATTCTATTTTATTACAGAACTAACTTTATAACTTACCAATGATGATTTCCTATTTATTTAATTATCAAAAAGTGATGATTTCCTATTTCTACCGTTGGTTTTTTATTTACGTAAAAATCTCCTTGCATTTTGTGTGTTACAGTTTGAGCAACAAGAATATGGCACGGACAGTGATTACAATGATAATGGTTCTATGGATGCAGAGGGCGAATGTCTTGCAGAAAAACTTAATGATGCCCTTAGGAATCACGCAATGGATGAATTGGAACTTGATGACAAATACAAAGCCCCTGCAGATTTCTTGTGTGGGAACGAAGTACCAAGCAAAGAAGTACTCGATTCAGCAGCTGATGTCATTCGTCGATGTGCTGAGTATGCTGAAATATATAGCAATGAAAACCAAAATAATGAGGATGTGGTTGTGCTGCAGGAAAGTAGTGATGAATCTGAAGTATGGGACTGCGAGACTATTGTTTCTACGTATTCAAATCTCGATAACCACCCTGGGAAAATAGTTGCACCAGAGAACACTAGAAAGAAGAAATTGTCTGAAACTTTCTCCAGAGCATTGAGTAGTAGCGGCAATGTGATTTCTCTTCGAGGGAAGGAGAAACTTCCAGTTGAGTTTTTGCCCCATAGCAAAAAAGTTGTTTCAGAGAAAATGAAGGAAGTGGCTAGCTCGAGGACTGACATGCGGAGGAGGAAACCACACGGTCAAGAGTCAAAAGAGGAAAAGAAAGAACGGAAGGTAAGTACTGTTAGCCTTTCTAGACTATACTCAAGTCTACCCATGCCAAGCTTTGCTCAGAAAGCATAGATGGAAGGTTGTGTAAGGCTAGTAATTGGCAGGAAGCTTCTTCTACTGCTGCCAAGTCCTTTGCTCATGGTAGTCTCATTCTAGCAAAACGAATACTTGGTGAAAGCCAAGTCTCAAGAAGGATAAATGTATTGCTGTAAACGACATGGGCTGAAGGGGAACTAGAGACTGGATCAACTATTTGGGAAAGGTCAAAAGCCAGTGACCAACTGAGTGGTGGCTCAATTAGTACGTTAGTTGGGTAGTCCCAGCGGAGATGTGGATACCAGTCCCGCTGCCTGTGATCACCTACATTGAAAGTTATTAGTGTGATGCATTAAAATATCAAAAAAAAAGGCCAAAGCCAGTTATGATAAGTGAGAGGATCATCTCTCCTTTCTCAACTCCTTTTCCAGTTAGGTTTTATGAGTGTCATTCTGTTAAGGCTGTCATGGTTGACTGTAAGCTGCTTACATGCAGGCTGCTGTGAAAGAGGAGAGGCGAGAAGCACGGCGAGTGAAGAAAGAAATGAAAGGGCTGTACAAATGTGAGGCGCAGCGTGCACAGAAGGTTGTAGCTGTATCCACTCCATGTTCCATCCATATAATGTAAGTGTCTCTAATGATTTGATCTATTTAATTGAAAATCCTACTTCATTTTTGGAAGTTAGGTTGGAGATGGCCTTGCTTCTTGGAATTATTTTTTATATTGAATCCTAGATGCTACATTCTTGAATCTAGTCTTGGAAGAGAATATGAAGTTCTTCCCCCTTGATTGTAGTTACTTGTTGGTTTGTTATTATTAGGAATTATGTAGCCTAATTAGGTCGATTTGGATTTTTCTCAAGACAGATTGATCTGTTTCTGCTACATTGAAGAACAATGTGCCAATTGCCAATTCAAACCATCCATTGGATTGGGCATCCTCTGGATTGGCCACATGTTCATTTCCCTAGTACTCAATTTTGGTCCTATACACTACCTTGTGTTTGAGTTTCCCCAAGTGACTAGCTATACAAAATGTCTTAAAGAAACCCAGAATCTGGAATCTAGAGCCCTTACCATTAATTTGTAATAACCATTGCCATCATCATTGTTAATAGTTTCTAATGCGCAAGTAAATGGGCAGTGGGAGTAGTGCTGTACTTGTTTTCTGCGCTTGCCTTTTGGATCACAAATTAAATATGTTTGTTCATTTTCTTAAGGCTGCATTTGGAAACGATGCAAATAAGTGTGAATGCAAATATGTAGAGTGTAAAACGGTTCATATAAATTGTAAAATTGGGTTAGTTTTGCACTGACAAATTTACCTTCTTACCAAACAGACTTTTAGTTGTAATAGATGCAAACATGAATTCCAATAAAGCATATGTTTTTTTTTTTTATCAAAAGCCCACTTGAATGCAAATTTACTTTTTTTTATTGATGTACTTTTACATCTTATTATCACTGTAAATATGCGTTGGTCTGTCATTTGTTAATGCATTAATGAAATGTTGCCAAACACATACAAAAATGAACCAGAGTGCAAATTTGCCCTGAACCGGGATTTATACTCCATTTGCATCATTTCCAAACGCAGCTTAAATGTTTGGTTGCTTTCATCTTCCCTAACCTTTCAAGCATAAAATACAATGTATGAATTGTGGCCGCGGTTTGGGACTAGATGGAAATTGTAGGTGTTATTTTAGGATGATGCCTCGTGATAAAATGAAAGGAACTTTATCCTAATCATTTCTCAGATTGATGCTTTTCTTTTCATTTTTTTTCAATTATGGATTATGGTATGGAAATATTACTACACTAAAAACTAACTTGATTTTGTTCTCTATTTCTATTGTTGAATTAGGTAAATGTGGGATTGATGGGCTTAGAACTTGATGCAACTAAACGAATGGAAGTCTATTTATTATTTGTGATTTACTTTCATGTCGAGGATAGGCATGGTTTTCTCAAAATGCACGTGTCATCTCAAGTTTTGTGCATTACGGGTGGAACTGTGTACAAAATTGATGATTTTGTTGGTTGCAGCATTTCCATCAGTTCACTAGTTTTTTTGGGGTACATGGAGTGTACCATTGAGGAATACCTTGAATTTTGTTTTAGCATGGATATGAATTCCCTGAATTTGGCAGAATTATTTAGAGTATATTTTTGAATGGCTTGTTCCTTGTTTGCCATGTATAACATTATATTAGCTCCCTCTCCCTGCACTCCTTTCCAGTTTTTCAGTACATAATTGACAGTATGACAGATGCATTTTTTACCTGTAATTTGACATTAAATTTACATTTTTTTTGTTAAATTGAAATAATAGGGCTAGGGTCGTTTGGTTTCCATTCTGATTCGGAATCAGAATTGGAATTGGAATCTGGATCAGAACGGGAATCAGTTGAATGGATTCTCATGGGAGGGAATGGCCATTCCCTCAAATGGGGGAATGTTATTTCATCAGGAATGGGAATGGGATTTCAATTCCGCCCAACCAAATGGTTGGAATCAAAATGGACTATTTCGATTTAGATTCCAGATACTTATTCCCACCAATGAAACAAACCCTTAGATATCATAATATGATAATATTACAAGTAAGACAACTTGAATACGGATACAAATACTCTTTGGAAATGGTTTATAAATACATAAAAATGTATATTTTAATGGTATATATGAAATATATTACAATTAATATATTGGGATGTGTAGATATCAAATAATTTTATTTATAATGCATCAATTAAGAGGCCAAGACACTAAATATATGCACTTATTATATTTTAATTATTGTATCAATTATTTTTTTTATTTTAATTTTTTAACATTAACAAAATATCAAATAAATATTAAATTCTCAAATGCAAATTAAAATGTCAATTAATAACGGGAAAATTTCTGATTAATACTTGTACTTTGGGATTGGTGCTACTTTGGTCCCCAAATTTTAAAATGCAACAATTTTAGTATCCAAACTTAAAATGTGTCAATCTAGTATTTGTTGTTAATCAGCCATTATGTGGCATTTGAAAAGATAAAAATGTCCTTTGAGTGTCATCTAATTTTCTTTAACATCCAAACGTTGACAAAAAATGAACATTCTCAAATTCTTGCCTCTTCTATTCAAGGAAGTTGGGGTCGCTAGAATAGAAGAGGCAAGGATTAGGAATTGTTCATTTTTTGTCAACGTTTGGATGGTTGATAAAGAAAATTAGATGACACTCGATGGGTCTGTGTCTTTTCAAATGCCACTTAATGGCTGGTTAACGACAGGKATTAGATTGACAGTTTGAAAGTTGGGGTACTGAATTGTTGCATTTTAAAGTTTAGGGACCAAAGTGGCACTAGACCCAAAGTCAATGTTCAAAGTATTGATATGCATTGTATCAGAGCCTTTCCGATACATTTCTATAGGGGATATTTCGGGTCGATAAGTGGTTCAAGGGGTAGATCGACCTTAAATCGGCTCCTTTGAACTAGATTCGAAAAAAATAAAAAAACAAACAAAAAAAAAGATTACCGATACAAGCCAATACACCTTATCGGCGTATCGCCCTGTAACCTTGCCACCAAAGTATAAGGTACTAATTGGGAATTTTCCCATTAAAAATTTATAAAAATATAATATTTGGTATATCAAATTTGTTAAAATTTCTAAGATACATATCGTATACAAAATCATAATTTTAATTACTAAAATATTTATTGCATTATTAATATTTTTATTTCTATAAATTATATGAGATAAAAATCATTTTTTGAAATAAATATAGATTAGTGGATTTGATAGATCCAATTGAATATTATATTTTTCAAGACTTTTATTTTTGGCAAATAATATGTTGTTATTACTTATTAATGTAAATTAAATATTAATTAATAATTTGTAAAAACATATACAAATTTTAAGATGCATGTCATGTGCAAATTTATAATTTTAAGTATTAAAATAATTGTTCTATTATTAATATTTTATTTATATTAAAATGTCATTTTAATATTTTAAAATGCTATTTTTGAATATTGTTTTGAATAGTTAGAGTTATTAAATATAAACATATGTTTTTTTTATTTAAATTGCATGTAGACACAAAGGATAATAATATTTGTTTTATTTCATTTATTATCACAAGATGAAGTATGGTCTAGTGGTTTAAAATTGTAGTGAAGGATTGATTTGCTTTAGGAGACTTGAGTTTGAATCAGTATATTGCATTTTTATAGAGGATAGAGAGATCCGAGGTATCATGTGTATCAAGTATTGACCCTTTTAAGGGTGGAATCGGCCAATACAAGCGATACCGGCCAATACACATCTCGATACAAATGAATAGAAGCATATCTATGTAATGCCCATTTACATCATTTGTAACAAGCCAATTGAAACTTTTGCTGAAACCTCCCTTAAAGTTTGGTAATAACAATCACCTTCCCTAAACTTTTTAATACAGTTGCAAGTAGACCCTTTTTATTAAAATGAAGCAAGAAAATATCCAAATTACCTATGCAGACTTTTGACTAAAATGTTTATTTTTTTAATTTTTTTTCATATCAATTATTACCCCAAACCCTAATCTCTTTTTTTTTTTTCTGAAATTGATTTTTCTGTAGAAATCTGCGTTAATATTTATTCTATGGGTATTTTAAACATTTTCGTACCTCTCATTAGAAAATTCTAACAAAGGGCATCTACTTACTACTGTGTAAAAATGTTCAAGCGTATTGATTGAAATTACCAACCATCAAGGGAGATTTCAGCAATTTACCCTAAAAAATAAATGACTTCGCAAATAAACTTTCAAATACTTGGTTTCAAGTTTCAACAGTGGAAACATCACGAAGAAATGTATCCAGAAGAGACTGACTCTGTCAATCTTCCAGATTTCTACGTCCTGATTCCTCAATCGTTTTAATTTAACTGCCATGGGCCATGGGAAGACAGATCTGCTGTAAACCCAATGAATGACCGCCATGTGTTCTTTGCATAGGTCCTGATCTTTCCATGTGTGTAATACTTAACAGAACCCCCTGTAATTTCAGATTTCTGAGGTGGACCGAGTCTACTTATCCCAAAAATTTTTGCTCAATCCTGGAAGTATGTACTTTCACTTTTTTACGGTGGATGACTCAACCATGCCTCCTGTTTTTTGTTGAAAATTTTTGAATGTTAAGTGAGGTGGCTTGAACATCCACCATGAAAAAATGGAAGTATGTACTTATAGATGGAGCGAAATAAAGCTCAGTGATTTTCTTATTTGTTTTTGGCTCTTCCTCTTTCTGATCGTCTTTCTTCCCAAAACTCTAACCCACTTGTTTTCTTTCCATACCGGAAGCCATGACCTCATGTCCAACTTGCGTCTCTACTTAATCTGTTTACTTAAATAGATAGATAGATAGATAGATAGATATATTAATCATGCCCAGTAACCAGTTGCTCAAGTAAACGCCTCCTGGGGAGGGAGTGCTAATGTGAAAGGGATTCAATCCAAGAAATTCAAGTCTTGTGAACAACAACAATTTCCATTACAAAGTCTTTCTTAGAGTATATATGCTTCAATTTCTACCCAAGTCACGTAGCTTTAAAAGTCTTAACACAATCATATGATAATTCATTGTTCTTAATGGATTATCCTTTCTACCAAAAAAAACACACATAGTAATTATTTGCCATCTGCCAAAACAGGGGAAAATCGGATTGAAATAATCAAACCGTTTAACTTATATTGTTGAAATCTACTAGTATCCAAAATAGAATGAAGACTTATCCAGTGACAAATGTCTATTTTAGTGTTTGGAGTATGTTGATCCTTTCTATGAAGTGTTCAGGTTACTTTGAACATTTGTATAGAAGAAAACCAGGTAAATTAGGGTTTAGGGAAAGAAGAGAGGATGAGGAAAAGATGAAGAGTGAAAATAGGAAAGAAAGAAAAAACCTCTAATTTTTTGGTTCATGAATTATGGGCTATATAATAGGGGTGATCATTTCAGCCCGCACAAGCCCGGTCCGTAAATTCTGGGCTTGGGCCTGGGTTTTGTGTTCAGGCCCGGCCTGGGCCCAGGCTCACAAATTTTAGGGCCAGACTTGAGCTTAATACTTCAAACCCGGCCTGGCCCGCATATATTTAAATTTACATATTTTGTGTATAATGTATACATATGTATACAAGTTATTTTACATTATATTATATATTTTATATATAAATATTATAACATAACAAGTATAATTTGTACTATATGTAATATTTTATATTATATAATGTATAAAATAAGTTTATATGCATGTTATGTCATTTAACATAAAATATTATAGATATGTAATGTTTTATATATATATATATATATATATATATATAATTTCTTAAACTACACCTAAGTTAGGTTTAGGAAAATAACTAACTATATCCCTACTGTTTCANTATATATATATATATATATATATATATATAAGACATTGGCCCAGAAATGTTTCAGGCCTGGAACCCTGGGCCGGGCTGGGCCCAGGCCTAAGCTATAACCCTAATCATAAGTGCAAAGCCTAGCCCAGGCCCGGCCCATGATCACCCCTACTTTATAAATGAAAAAATAAATAAAATATTGATATTAGAGTAACAGTGGGTTGTGTGTTAAGGCATACATGGAAACACCACCACCTATGAAAGGAATAGGTGGTGTTCATTCATTGTCATTCACTAAAATGCAGCATTTTGAGATCAAGGACGATAGAACTGCAAGAGCCAGAATATCTACCATCACTGTCTACATTTACTCCATCTGCCTGGGGGAGGCAAGATCTCTGGTTATAAATAAAATAGTGGGCAAGGAAGCCTTTTCTTTCAAAGGCATGAGTTGCTGTTTTATCAGTGAAACCTTATTGATCGATAGTAGGTCTTTTTACTTGCTGTCTATGCCTACAACAACTTCACAACATTACATCTTAGGTTGTGTTTGGTATGATTGCTGCTATTAAAAATATTTGGGGTTTATCAATATAAATATTTGATAAAAATAGGTCACTGTTTACGTACAAAAAAATTCATTTTTTTTTGTATTAAACTTAGATACCATATTTTTCAAACGGAAGTTATCATATGATATAACAAGACAATTTCTCAAAAATTTATATTGATAAGCCCAAAACTTTTCTAGTAAAAACAGCAATGATACAAAATACAACCTTAATCTACACGAGACTCTGATTCATAGTCTATGATTCGATCATTCGAACAACACGCTTTGTCGGTTCCCATGTGGACATTTTAATCTAGGCCTTACGGCACAA